AGCTGCAGCACGACGAGGAGCAGACATAGAAAACATATCCAGCTCTTCTTCATCACCATCTGCTGCTGCTTCTTCTTCTGCTGCTGCTGCTGCTGCTGCACTACTACCAGCAGCAGCAGCAGCAGCAGCACCGCCAGCAGCAGCAGCAGCAGCAGCAGCAGAACGCTCGTAGTCTTCACGCATGCGTATTATAAAGTTTCTTAGTTTTAGTTTTTCTTCTCCCACCATCTTTTTTAATGAAGACATATCAATGCCTTTTGCTGCTGCTGCTGCTGCTGCTGCTGCTGCTGCTGCTGCTGCTGCTGTGGGTGGTGGTTGAGAGGCGGAGCTCTCGCTGTCTTCTGCTGCTTCTCTTGCTGCTGCTGCTTCTCGTGCTGCTGCTGCTGCTGCTGCTTCTGCTGCTACTTCTTCATCGTCAGATAGACTATCAGGAGGAGACAAATCACCAGCAGGAGACAAACCCTCTTCTGCTGCTTCTGCTGCTGCTGCTGCTGCTGCTGCTGCTGATGCTGCTGCAACAGGAGAAGCAGCAGCAGCAGCAGCAGCAGGGTCGGGCGCGCACGCAGAGTTGCTCCCTACCTAAAACACAACAAACCCTAAACCCTAAACCCTAAACCCTAAAAAAGCTTAAACCCTAATACCAGCATAAACACCCCACTCTCCCCTACTGTAAACCCTAAACCCTAAACCCTAAACCCTAAACCCTAAACCCTAAACCCTTACCGTTGGTTGTGGCGTTGGTCCTTCTGAATTGGGTGCGCTTTGTCTGTCTGCTGCAGCAGCAGCAGCATCTACATGATTACTGCTGCTGCTGCTGCTGCTGCTGCCATTGCTGCTGCTGCTGCTGCTGCTGCTGCTGCTGCTGCTGCTGCTGCTGCTGTTGAGCTTGGCTAGTATTGCTGCTCTCTGTTTTCTTCTCTCCTCAATGAATAACCTATCTCTTTCTTCCTCCTCAATAAACTCATCTGCATACAAAGCATCTGTCTCTTCTTGTTTATTATTTTCTTTTTCTTTTTTTTCTGTTTCTTCTTTTTCTTTGTTCTCTCTTTCTCTCTCTCTGTTTGGTTGCGGGCTCCTGCTGAGGGTTTGGTTATTCTTTATATATGGGCCTCTATCTCTCTCTCTTTCTCTCTCTCTTTCTCTCT